AGCTCATTTTCAAGACTGATATACTGACTATATATATACGGGATATACGGGATAATATATTGGACCATATGTGATTGTGTTATATGTGTACCTATATGTGATTATAACTTGTTACATGAAATACAGATTGCTGCTTTAACAAGTGCATACGTGTTCTCAATATTTTTCTTCTTGGATCGAATAATTCTAAATATAACTGAACTTCAACTTCCAACGTATTTTCTGTCGTCCTATTTCTGAAATATGAGACCTAAAGCAATTCCACACTGAAAGGATTGAGGATTATTCAAGTTTAACGCACATGCCTTCGCTTTAAATTCTTCATTTACTTCATCTTGAAAATATGTGGAATTGAAAGAAGGTGAACCAAAGTAATATCCATTTTCTCTTTGCGACTTTCCCGTTGAATGACGTTGCATGCCTTTCAGATGCTCTTTCGAATCCTATCACATTTTTTGCTATTCCCATTTCTTTGAGGTTGTAAATCAGAATTTTACTACGTTTATTTTGTGAATTACATATTATTCCGCCATTCTGTACGTCTCCATCGAATGATGTGATTGTATATGTAGAAATGCGAGTTATTTTCAACAATCAATTTTTTGAAATATTCGTTTATTTTGTGAATAAGATATTATTTGCTCATTCTGCACGTCTTCATTGAATGATGTGATTATACTGCGCAACAACGAAATTATTTCGATCTATAAATTAGTCCTTTCCTATGTCTTCTCGTTAACTAAATGCAAAAACAATCGATTAGCACTAGTTTTAGAGATACAAACTACTTGTCATATATCAGAAATTCTTCTTTCTAAATTTGCGGAAAATTCGAAATTTTGGAAATTGACAACATTGTTCATTGTCAAAATACACGTAAATTGTATTTGTCAAATTATAATTTGACTGCCAGAAGATTACTAAGTGGTGATACTATTGCGGTGAAACGATGAAATTTATAGTAATTTGTGCATATCATCTTGTTCCGGAGAGTTATGAAGAGAGAAACTAACATGCCACGAAAATGTGTTAATTTAGTCAATAATTTTTGTTTCATTTGTGGCGAAATGACGTTTGCCTAACAAAAATGCAATTTGAGGAATAAAGTAATGGTAGGAAGTAAAGGAAACGTTCAACTTTTTTTGTTGCGCAGTTATGAGAAAATGCGAGTCATATAATAAGGAGTGATATTTTCGGATAAAGTTTCAATTACCCTTCTTTCTATCAGAACTGGAAGTTAGTCGTCTCTGTGGCGTAGTGGGAGTGACGGACTCTCACTGGGGACATCTAGGTTCGAATCCCGGGTGAGACATGGACGAATGTGTAGGTAAAATGAGTTTCAGCGGTAATATAAATAAATGATATAATGGGTAATGTCCAAAGATGACGAACCGAAAAAATATTTCAAAAAAAAAAGAACTGGAAGTATTTGATAGTGTTGGCGTTTACTTGATGTAAATCCATTATAATTGAATATAACTTAAATTCAAACACTTGAACTTATGATTTACTTTTTATTGACTACATAGCATGACGCGTTTCGTCGTTACAAACGACTTCTTCAGATGCTTACAGAATAATTATTCTGTAACATTATTCTGTAAGCATCTGAAGAAGTCGTTTGTAACGACGAAACGCGTCATGCTATGTAGTCAATAAAGTGTAAATCATAAGTTCAAGTGTTTGAATTTAAGTTATATTCAAGAACTGGAAGTGATCAAACAAGGAATATAGAAGGTCAATCCCAGCTGTAGTCAGTAGACAATGATAACTGTATGATGTTGTTCAAATATTTGTAATTTTACTTGTACAAAACATATTTACTGGTTTTCAATTCGTTTTTTCATTTCCAATTTGATAATTTCCTTGGCAAGTATTTGTGTTCTTGATATATTTTGTTTCACAGCCTTCAAGCAAATATTTATAACCATTGATCTCTCCGTGATGCGATTCTATCTTTTCTTGTACTTTGAATTACTCCGATGTATTAGCTTTGAGATTATTTACAATTCTTTTTTTATTAATGAAACACTTCTCCCTATCAAATCTAACGCATGCATTCAATTACGGGTGCAGCGGTTTCCGTTACTTAGATCAAGAACATCTTATATATATATATATATATATATATATATATATATATATATATATATATATATATATATATATATATATATATATATATATATATATATATATATATATATATATATATATAATATATATATATATATATATATATATAACTATATATATATAGTTGAATGTTCACGACTGTAGATGTGTATTTTCAGTGTTTAATTGGGGTTGCAGTCTAGGACAGAAAAACCAGTTACCTCTTCAGTATTTTCCAAGCTTTCGAAAATGTTTATTTTCTTCTTCAGGGCTAAAATAGTACAATATTAAAAGTTTATATAACAAGGCACTATCGAAAATTTTCCTTACAATTACTATGAAATTAGTCGGAAAGTACATTTGTTTTTTGAATTTTGAAAATGAGTACTAGTGTTCTCAAATGCATTGGGTTCTAATATTACTGCATTATACGTGTTAGGTAGCTGAAGGGAGCAACGACACTAACTAAAGAATGAATAAGGGTTATAAATTAGTTGTCAGAATACAAGGTTACAATTTAAGCAAATGTTTCAATTTCCGCAACAAACTTTATGTGAGTTAGGGAGTAACACCACAGAGCGATCTGATATGTCAGATCGCTCTGTGGTAAGCTATGGTAAGCTAAGTAAGCTATGGCATACTCTCACATAGATGAAACCTGAGATTCTTAGTTTCGTCTTCTATGATCCGAAACTGATTCAGTTTCGTATTCCTGGTTTTAATATTATTCATAATAATTCCCGTAATAATAAAATGATGGTATTGTGGTGTGCATCATTGATCTCACTGAAACTAGATTCATTTTTATTGAAAACGGTACTACTTTTGGTGTAACTACGTCATATGGACCACCATCTATAAGTAAGAATTTTATATAACTGAATTATCGGACTATTTTTCACGTATTCATCCCTAAAGGAAGGGAGTGGAACTTTTTATTGGTGATATTACTATCAATATTTTGGAGAGTTTCCATGTAAGCGAGGTTAGTAGCCTGAATTATTATATAGGAGTATTAGGTGAGTTTGAATTTTTGTCCTATATAATTACAGCTACAAGGGTAAATGAATATCAAAAGAGGTCATGAGTTGATTGCAATGAATATCAATTGATCATGAGTTTATTGAAAACAAAATTAAAAATGTGAATATTATTCCAGCTATTATAAAACTGCTTTAAGGGATCACTATATGCTCTTCTTGAATTTCAATTTTTCCAAAAAAATGAAACGGTAAGATCTTAATCAAACTAGATTCAATGAATTTCGATAATTTGAACAGGACATTAGCAGGCGAGAGCTGGAGTAGTGTTCTCAGTAATATGGACCCAGAGTGTAGTTACGATCTATTTTTGAGTACATTTAATGCAATCGTGAAACAAAATTTCTTGTACAAAGTAATAACTAATGAAAACCTAAAACTTAAGCCATGGACTTGCAAAAAACACAAATGATAAGTGGGAACAGTATTGAAATAAGCACAGTATAGAAAATAAAGAAATTATCTGAATGTTTTTTTGAGAAACACTTAATACAAAATTTTATGCAGACATATTTGAGAAATCACGAAACAATATCAAAAAAAATTCGGCAAACAATCGAGGAGGTTACAAACAGTGAGAAGCGTAGTACTGAAAAGGAAATTATTTTGGAATACGATCAAGGGGAAGTAATAAATGAGAAAAAAGTCGTAGCAAATCATTTTAATAAATTTTTCATGGATATTGGTAAAACAATGGCCGGCAGTATACCTAAACCTGGGAAGTTTTCGAAAACTGTCAATGAATATATTACGGAGGGTGCCTCGTTCTTTCTCAAGCTGATTACGGAAAATGCACTTATGGATGTTATCAAGAATTTGAAATCAAACTGTTCTAATGGACCCGATAATATATACGTAAGATTGATAAAAACCTATCATGTTCATGTTCTGAAGCCACTTATATGATTAATTCATGTTTCTCAAACGGTTTAACCCCAAGACAATTCAAGGAGTCGAATACAGTTCATATTTTCAAGTCGAGAAGTAGGAGGCTTCCAACCAACTACAGACCCATCACAATAATAAATAAGCCAAAATATTCATTGTTTTATAATAATTGTAGTATAAAAATAAATGGACGTACAAAGTTCGCTCGGTGAGCTAGTATCATATAAAAGTCATACTTATTTAATATTTTGTGTTGCAAATATTCGTTGGATTTTATAAGATATCTTTCGTTGAAAGTTGTGTAGAAATATTTTTGAAAATTGCCAATAGTATTGTTAGTTGATAGGTACATAAGGTATAAATACATTATTTGATGTATTCCTTAGAAGTTTTTTTTTCGATAATCTGTCGATTATCGTATATATATATATATATATATATATATATATATATATATATATATATATATATATATATATATATAGCACTTCAAGATATTTAAGTGTGTGTGCTTGTTCAAATCTTGTTCATTTATAGTATTCAAATGTGAAATTTTGTTGTATGATTTTGTTTTATCTTGGTATTGATAGTATTGTACAGACAATTCATTGACATATTTTCCCATACAATTGTACTACATTGTCAGTGGAAATAAAACTTTTATTTATTTATTTATTTATATATATATATATATATATATATATATATATATATATATATATATATATATGCATTGATGCGAAATATATATATATATATATATATATATATATATATATATATATATATATTTCGCATCAATGTTTCTCGAATGCAGCATAAATATTTTATTTATTCAATGGATCTATAGTTCAACGCCGGTTCCAAAAGGCAACTGGGCTTGTAATAAATGTACATTACCCAGCATATACCAACTTTTATTCATTTTAAATCATCAAAAAAAAACACATACACTCATGCCTTCCACCGGAGCTCGAACCCGAGTTCTACCGCACCATAGTCGGTTGTTCTCCCTACTAAGCCACGGAGACCGGCAACATCATTAATATGTTATTAAAAGTGGATAAAACTTTCCATCCAAGTAGGAGAGTTGGTTTTTTTTTCATATGCAGAGTATACCTTCATATATTTTTGTTCGCCCTCTTTCTCAGAGTTTTTGTTTTCTTTGGTTAACTTACAGAAAATAACTTTGAAGCGTTGTGTTTGTCTTTTAAGAACCGTAGAATTCTAAGAAATAATTGTCAACGAGTAAGCTAGAACAGATACATCAATAATCTTTCAAAAGTAATACTAGAATAATTTTGTCGAAGATATTCTATAATATGTCAGAATGAAGTTGAGTAAGAGTTTCCAGAGCAATAGATGTATACTATAATTTTTATCCGATGTGCACACCTGTTTCATCACAGGCTCCATTGATTCGAAACCCATCTACATGTTCTAAAAATAGATCTTTCAGCAATCTGCAAACTGTCCTCAAAACATTCGATAAAAACTAGTAGGGAATAAATTCGTTCACATGTAGCAGACACATAGATTTCGTAGCTCAATTGAAGAAGAATTGTCGAAAGAATCTGATGTGCATTCATTTATATATATATATATATATATATATATATATATATATATATATATATATATATATATATATTTATATATATATATATATATATATATATATATATATATATATATATATATATATATGTAATAAATATATTTGCTTTCTGCAAATTATATAAATTACATATATAATACATTATATAAATACTATTATTACATTATATTACATTATATAAATACATATAAAGTATAAATTGTTTGCTTTCTGTGAGTGCCCAAGGACCAAAATGCCAATGCTTCTTCTTTCTTAAAAAGACTTCATATATTATTGATGACTATAATGCATGATTTTTTTATTGCTATTATTACTTATCAAATCAGCAAAGTTACTAATTATTGATGTCGAAACGAGAATTCATTAAAGAGGGTTTTTTTTTAATGTGGAACATTTCTGAAAGAGATCTTCAGAAAAAGATTATAAAAAGATCATACTACAGAATTGACGTATTTTCATAGTCCATGTCATGATTTGTTTTTCTATCATGTTCTGCCAAAGCACAAACTTTTTTGGATTTTTACCTTATAGACATTATTATTGCAACTCAGAGTAGGTGTTTTGTCCTTCACTGATGCGAACAGCGTACCAAGGAGAAACTCATTTCTATCAGCAATTCTCAGTCTCTCATCACAAAAAAGTCTCACCAGTGGACCCGTCACCTTCGAAATCAACATCAATGACGCACATATGGTGAATGATTCATTGCTGGATGGGGCTGCAGCAATAAATCCAATCCATAGGTTCTTCTGATTAATGGCTCATATTCTGATATCCTATTTACCGAAAAATCCACTCTAAATATACAAAATAAATTCATTCTGTTTTAGTTAGTCATAAAACTTCGGCCAACGTCTGAAAAAACGCCCTTGGAACACCTGGGACCATTCCACTTGAAAAGCGGAATTGAGAAATACAGTTAGTGTCGTTGCTCCCTTCAGCTACCTAACACGTATAATGCAGTAATATTAGAACCCAATGCATTTGAGAACACTAGTACTCATTTTCAAAATTCAAAAAACAAATGTACTTTCCGACTAATTTCATAGTAATTGTAAGGAAAATTTTCGATAGTGCCTTGTTATATAAACTTTTAATATTGTACTATTTTAGCCCTGAGAAGAAAAATAAACATTTTCGAAAGCTTGAAAATACTGAAGAGGTAACTGGTTTTTCTGTCCTAGACTGCAACCCCAATTAAACACTGAAAATACACATCTACAGTCGTGAACATTCAACTATATATATATAGTTATATATATATATATATATATATATATATATATATATATATATATATATATATATATATATATATATATATATATATATATATATATATATATATATATATATATTGAATGTTCACGACTATATATATAACGAAATATATATATATATATATATATATATATATATATATATATATAACTATATATATATAGTTGAATGTTCACGACTGTAGATGTGTATTTTCAGTGTTTAATTGGGGTTGCAGTCTAGGACAGAAAAACCAGTTACCTCTTCAGTATTTTCCAAGCTTTCGAAAATGTTTATTTTCTTCTTCAGGGCTAAAATAGTACAATATTAAAAGTTTATATAACAAGGCACTATCGAAAATTTTCCTTACAATTACTATGAAATTAGTCGGAAAGTACATTTGTTTTTTGAATTTTGAAAATGAGTACTAGTGTTCTCAAATGCATTGGGTTCTAATATTACTGCATTATACGTGTTAGGTAGCTGAAGGGAGCAACGACACTAACTGTATTTCTCAATTCCGCTTTTCAAGTGGAATGGTCCCAGGTGTTCCAAGGGCGTTTTTTCAGACGTTGACCGAAGTTTTAAGACTAACTAAAACAGAATGAATTTATTTTGTATATTTAGAGTGGATTTTTCGGTAAATAGGATATCAGAATATGAGCCATTAATCAGAAGAACCTATGGATTGGATTTATTGCTGCAGCCCCATCCAGCAATGAATCATTCACCATATGTGCGTCATTGATGTTGATTTCGAAGGTGACGGGTCCACTGGTGAGACTTTTTTGTGATGAGAGACTGAGAATTGCTGATAGAAATGAGTTTCTCCTTGGTACGCTGTTCGCATCAGTGAAGGACAAAACACCTACTCTGAGTTGCAATAATAATGTCTATAAGGTAAAAATCCAAAAAAGTTTGTGCTTTGGCAGAACATGATAGAAAAACAAATCATGACATGGACTATGAAAATACGTCAATTCTGTAGTATGATCTTTTTATAATCTTTTTCTGAAGATCTCTTTCAGAAATGTTCCACATTAAAAAAACCCTCTTTAATGAATTCTCGTTTCGACATCAATAATTAGTAACTTTGCTGATTTGATAAGTAATAATAGCAATCACAGAAAAAAAATCATGCATTATAGTCATCAATAATATATGAAGTCTTTTTAAGAAAGAAGAAGCATTGGCATTTTGGTCCTTGGGCACTCACAGAAAGCAAACAATTTATACTTTATATGTATTTATATAATGTAATATAATGTAATAATATATATTTATATAATGTATATATATATAATATATATAATATGCAGATATATATATATATATATTTATATATATATATATATATATATATATATATATATATATATATATATATATATATATATATATATATATATATATATATATATATATATATATATATATATATATATATAAATGAATGCACATCAGATTCTTTCGACAATTCTTCTTCAATTGAGCTACGAAATCTATGTGTTTGCAACATGTGAACGAATTTATTCCCTACTAGTTTTTATCGAATGTTTTGAGGACAGTTTGCAGATTGCTGAAAGATCTATTTTTAGAACATGTAGATGGGTTTCGATTCAATGGAGCCTGTGATGAAACAGGTGTGCACATTGGATAAAAATTATAGTATACATCTATTGCTCGGGAAACTCTTACACAACTTCATTCTGACATATTATAGAATATCTTCGACAAAAATATTCTAGTATTACTTTTGAAAGATTATTAATGTATCTGTTCTAGCTTACTCGTTAACAATTATTTCTTAGAATTCTACGGTTCTTAAAAGACAAACACAACGCTTCAAAATTATTTTTTGTAAGTTAACCAAAGAAAACAAAAACTCTGAGAAAGAGGGCGAACAAAAATATATGAAGGAATACTCTGCATATGAAAAAAACCTACTCTCCTACTTGGATGGAAAGTTTTATCCACTTTTAATAACATATTAATGATGTTGCCGGTCTCCGTGGCTTAGTAGGGAGAACAACCGACTATGGTGCGGTAGAACTCGGGTTCGAGCTCCGGTGGAAGGCATGAGTGTATGTGTTTTTCGATGATTTAAAATAAATAAAAGTTGATATATGCTGGGTAATGTACATTTATTACAAGCCCAGTTGCCTTTCGGAACCGGCGTTAAACTATAGATCCATTGAATAAATAAAATATTTATGCTGAATTCGCGAAACATTGATGCGAAATATATATATATATATATATATATATATATATATATATATATATATTTCGCATCAATGCATATATATATATATATATATATATATATATATATATATATATATATATATATATAAATAAATAAATAAATAAAAGTTTTATTTCCACTGACAATGTAGTACAATTGTATGGGAAAATATGTCAATGAATTGTCTGTACAATACTATCAATACCAAGATAAAACAAAATCATACAACAAAATTTCACATTTGAATACTATAAATGAACAAGATTTAAACAAGCACACACACTTAAATATCTTGAATATATATATATATATATATATATATATATATATATATATATATATATATATATATATATATATATATATATATATATATATATATATTTAGTCCAAGCATTGTCGACAGATTATCGAAAAAAAAACTTCTAAGGAATACATCAAATAATGTATTTATACCTCATGTATCAACTAACAATACTATTGGCAATTTTCAAAATTATTTCTACACAACTTTCAACGAAAGATATCTTATAAAATCCAACGAATATTTGCAACACAAAATATTAAATAAGTATGACTTTTATATAATACTAGCTCACCGAGCGAACTTTGTACGCCCATTTATTTTTATACTACAATTATTATAAAACAATGAATATTTTGGCTTATTTATTATTGTGATGGGTCTGTAGTTAGTTGGAAGCCTCCTACTTCTCGATTTGAAAATATGAACTGTATTCGACTCCTTGAATTGTCTTGGGGTTAAACCGTTTGAGAAACATGAATTAATTATATAAGTGGCTTCAGAACATGAACATGATAGCTTTTTATTATTAATACGTATATATTATCAGGTCCATTAGAACAGTTTGATTTCAAATTCTTGATAACATCCATAAGTGCAT